TGTGAAATGGTGTGGATGCATTTTGATGTTAGGCACTCCAGGGGAGACTGGGTTCCCATCAGATTTAAAATCACTTTCCTTCAGAAGGATCTTCTGGCTCTGTGCAAATATTTCTCTGCTGAACAGTAGGTAAAGGAAAGGGGAATACTGTGTGCATAAGGGAAAGTACTTATTCCTATTTCTATTTTCCTGTTGAAAAGGAGTAGTTAGGTTCACATGCTCTGTGATCCTGTGAGAGTTATGTCCCCAAAAGGGACTCCTGTGTGCTATGGTTTCCTAGGAGATTCTGTTGAGCAGCTTAGGTAAGCTTTGAACGTTGTATGTTTTAGCAGCTATTAGGTGCTTTCATTTAGTTACCATGAAATACAATGTTTCATTATCTTGTAAGCAGTCCAGTAATTTTCATTTTTTACCATTATTCTTAAACTTGGTGTGGAACACAAGTTTACGGAGGACTGCATGTTCAAAGGCAGCAACTCTGAGTATAACAACAACAAAATAAATAAGACTGCACATTTCTTTCCACTGAATTTGATTCAAGATCCAAGAATAAAGAAGCTGATTCACATTATCCAAAAGCTACACAAAGTTTTGGAAAATGGCATATTTTTTCTGCATTTGTTTCTGCACAAGCTGTCTTTTGGCCAGGAGTTTTGTAAAAAGATGTCTAAATTTAGGCCTAACGTCTAAAATAAGAGCCTTTTTTTTTTTTTCAGTGAGAGTTGGACTCCTGGTTGCCTACATTATGTTTGAAAATGGGATTTAGTTTTCTCAGTCATCAAAGGAATGCAATGCTATGCAGAGCATTTCTAAAAACTTTTAAAAAGTCAAAGCACGCTGTATTTCAGTTTTCCAGCCACTGAATAAAATGGAGATAATAGCATTACCCTAACAAACATGAGAATAAACACAGTATGAGACATTTTTATATTATGCTAGTTGAGGCCACTAATTGATAGATTTTGGCAAATCAGGCCCACTCCTCAGGTCTTTTATCAGCAAATTTCAAATAACCCACAAACCGTTTGAAGTGCTACACAGGTGCATCTATAACTATAGGAAAGGAGATGTTCTTGTTGTGTTACACTACATTGTACCATTGACCAAAGAACTGGCATTGCTCTAAAGGGGGTTGCTCAATGAAAGGCATGGGTATGAGGCAGAGAGTTTTGTCCGTCACACATAATTCTGTATGTTTAAAAAAAAAGCTGGGGGAGAGGGGGGGAATGTCCATAGTTATATTGTCATAAAAAAAACAAGTTGAGAGTGTGGTTTGGCATTGAGAGTGACTCTGTAAAAATGTTGCCTTCTTGCACAACATGTCTGCTCCCTGTGTGGATTCAGTCACATCTGCTGACTTGTTGAACAACAATATTATTACCACTTTTTACTTCTGTGAGCTCTGCAGAGCCAGAATGAAATGTGTCCGAATCTGTTCTGCCTTCTGTGTGAACAACAGGTTTCCTCATTTACTTCCAAGCAGTTACAGTTCATCAGTTGCAGCAGAACTAACGAGGCTGTACAGCTTGCAGTTTGTAATTGACTCTGAAGGGCTTTATTATTAATGATGACTTTCAGGAAGGGATGACGGATTCTACCTCTGTGAGGTCCTTTATTTTATTATTTTTAGAGCTGTCCTTTTGTGTAGAGGTACGCATTAAAGGCAGAGATAGGAATGGAACGAGTGAAATTCCTGTGATCCCAGGGGATGTTCAGGGCTGGCAGACTGCTTCTACGAAGTAGTCAAAGGAAGTCTCTTTTCCATAGCTTTTAATTCTCTGTGTGAGGGTCTCAACTTCCAGTTGAAAGTTTTGAAAGGTCCGCACACTGAAGGATGTTGGAAAGCATTAGGCTCACGGAAGGACTGCAGATTTGCTATGAGCAGGGACAAGGTCTGGGGCTCTTTTACAGTCTTCATCTTCTTCCAGCATATGGTTTTAATTTTGCTCACCTTATGAGCTACTCAGCTGCTTATTAATTCTGTTAAAAAATACCAGTAGTGGAGCAAAATGGCCGTCTGCTTTGGTCCTGGCAGGAAAGAATTTGGGGCAGCCCATGTCTCAATTAACAGACCTACTCATTGTGACAGTGAATTATTTAAGTAGCCATTTAAAGTTCCTGATTCAGCAAAACGTCAGAGGGAAGGAATATCTGAAAAAAATCACAATGCTTATATAAGTGTACTTAAGAACGTAATGCTGCTGTGGAATTAGTTTGTGCAATGAGAGATGTCCTAAATTAAAAAGCTGGATTTTCCTGATTTTAAAAATAAAGATCTGGCTGATTTGGTGGTACACCATGTGAAGGGCACTTTAAGTTCACAACATCGACCGTGTTTGCCTGTGTGCCTCTGTCCTGGAACTCTCTCTCCCTTAGCACATGCAGGATCGACTAGACCAGTATCATTATTGACAAACACTTACCAGTTCGGCGTTAAGTGCCTTGAGAGCTGGAGACTCAGCAGCCTCTGTAAGCCATCTCTCCCACTAACTGTCCTCGCTCTCAGAATGCATGAGCCCATCTGAGTTAATCATGTCTGGCTGTGTAAAACTAACATCAGCCTGTGCTTAAGGGACTCTCAAGGATCACATCAGCCCAGAAATTCTGTTTTGGATTCTCTGTGATAGCCCAGACAATGGAAGTGATGTCTGGAACTACTGAAATTCAGACTTGCATTGAAGCAGAGTGTGTTTTTTATTCTTTCATAGACCAAAATGTCTGCTGTGTGTGAGTGTTAATGACTTGCTGTGGGTATATACGTTACAGTTTTTTTGACAACAGATAATGCTGATCCTTAAATCCTATCAGATGTGTCACTAGCATCTGGTGCTGCCATCTGCTGTTTTCTTCTTATCAAGTTAATTACCTATAAATAAGACTTCAGTGATCTTCCTGTACTATATTGTAACGCATTTTAACACAGCAGAAGTCTTGAAAACTTGTGTAACACGAAAATGTTGATCATGTATCTTGCTCTAGCATACAGTCATCTAGTCACTTAGTAGAAATGAAAACTGCTTCAGATGGTGTGTAATTCTAATGAAGGTGGGAAGCCAACGACAAGCTTCACTTGCCTCGGCTGCAGCAGTTTTGAACATCTTCACAGGAGAATACTGACAAATGTATCTGCAAATATCAGAAGTTAGATGAGAATGGGCAACGAATGGATGGTTTGAATGAAACTTAGTATTATCATTGGGAATGATTTGGCTTCCTGCCTTTCTGCTTTTACACAAATACTATATTCATCATACTGATGTATTTCTTTTAACAGATACCACATCAGGAGTAAAATGGGATATTCTAGTGCTTCCAGTGGAGTAAAATCTTTTAATTACCTGCATCATCTGGCAGAATTACCTTGCTGTTCAAGAAAATGTCGTAAACGGGCATATGACCAGTCCTAACATTAGTCTGCTGTTGTGTCAGGGCTGGGGCTGAAAGCGCTCCAGGGGGCTGTGAAATGCACCTTTGGACGGTCATGAGAGCCATGCCACAGCTTGTCCCTGTCCCTTATGCAAACCGCATGGAAAGGGCTGCTTTCATGCAACACAATGCTGTTGCTAAGTGTTTGTAGGAGGCCTCCCTTCCTCCCATTAAAATACATGGATAATTAAACAAATAATAAAGGGAGGGGTGTGTGCAGTCTTGGATGACAAATATTTGTGGAGGGGTGTTTGGGAGCCAGTCTTATTGGGTGTACTTAAGAAGAAATTAAAAGTTTTGTGCAGTATGGGAGGATTTGACCTCATGTAACACCATAACAGCAGCCTGGGGCTAACCTCAAGTAATGTCAGGTCTATTGAAAATACATAGCTGCATAGCCCTCTGAGCTAAATAACTTCATTCATGGTCACACAGACATATTTAGCAGTCTTGGAGAAAAAAGAAAATACTGAGACACCAGAGGAAAGCCTAACTGCACTGTTAGGTATTTGTAGGTATTTTTATAACAACACATCCTCAGGAACAGACCTTCCCTACAACCCTTTTTAAAAGTGAAAAACAAAGTAGTGAGCAGACAGACTAGCCACTGGCCTGTGAGTAGTTTGGGTTGGAAAATTGTGGTGATTCCAAAAATAGTTCAGTTTCAAACTGCAGGCCTCCAGATGTGACATTTGGGATAGGCACACTCTGAAGAGAAAAAGAAATGAAGAATAAGTATCATCAGCTGTAGAAATTCCAAATAAAGCTTATCGTACTTCAGATTCCACAATTAAAGAACAAAAGAGCTGCTACTACCAATTGTAAGGATATTCTCCTTCAAGTTTTATTTTTCAGCTTTTTAATATGTGTGTGTTTGCAGAGAAGGATTTGTGTATAATTTGATGTGTGGAGATGGTTCAAACTCAAATTTCTGGAAAACATAATTCCATCCTTAGAGTGATCCAACTCCTTTTAATTAATTCTGGTCTCTTCTATTTTTTTCTGTACAGTTTTCAATTGCGGAATTTATAAAACAGAGACATCTCTACTTGAAAAGATTCCTCAAACATTTTTTTCACCAAATAGGATTTAGTTATGAAGGAATCCCAATTGATAACTTTGCAAAACAGAAACCCCTGTTTGGCTGCAGACCTGGTTTTGCTCAGTCACAACACAAAACCCACCTATAAACGTTCTGTTGGCATCTGGAGGGATCACAGTACTGCTCATTCAGTCTTTAGGTTTTCAGGTGACACTACCAAAAAGGCGATCTCAGAACTGTGGAAATATACCCAGATTGCACTGGATGGAAATCACTGACTTTTGTCTTGCAGGTGTCTGGCAGCTGTTTTAATAGTAGGGCATCGCAATGACTTTAGAACAAGTGTAATGTATTTGAATGAAGCAGTCAGAGCTAAACAGTTATCTCCATTCACTAGGAAAATATTTCTAAGATAAAAAATGTTTGATATTTCTGTGCATCTATTAAATTTATTGGGATTATTTAATTTTTAAGTGATTTTTCACCTGTCCCATATGGGGACTTCAAGTCTTCTTGAAGCTATACATTTGTTTCTATTATACTGCCCCATACAGTAGAAATTATTGTGACAGTGCAGGCTAAGTAAGCATGATTTTAATTTGTGCTAGGATTACTTTTTCCTAGTCTTGTAATATATAAAGAGTCCCTACACACTGAATGTAAATCAAATTGCTCTTTCCTAGTTTCAGCCAATAAACAATCTATTTTACCAAATGACAGGAACATAACGAATGACAACTAGAGAGGAAAATATGTTCACAGTGTTTTTACACCTAGTGTATTTTTAGAAAACCATTTCTAAAATGCTATAAGCTTACCTATAAGAAGCACACACACTGAAATGAATCCCCTGACTTCAAGAGTTTAGACTATAGTATCCTTATTTAAAGCTTTCCAGAGCCTACAAAGAAAAATACACTGCCCTCAAAAGACTCTGTGTCTGGACCCAGCCTTATCTCCAAATCAGACAAGGTCTAGCTCAAGAGCTGAAGTGAGGAAGTAGGCAAAACTTGATAATGAAAAATTAGAGGGCATTCTTAAAACAGCTGTTGCTATATTCAGCCATGAATAGGAAGAGAAGGTTATATATATACATATATACAAAATACCTTGTTTTCAAAGACAGCTAGGAAAATTCCATGTGAAAGTTAAGATGAAAATGTCCTTGGAATGACTGTCTTCCGATAAGGTATATTTCAATTATCTGTGAGAAATTTCCAGATAAAGTCCAACTTTTCCCAGCAAAAATACACTTTGCAGAGTAGTATTTCTTCATGTAATTGAGTTTACATGTGTGATACAGGAAAGAAAGCTTATGCAGATTGTTCACTAATGAAATTTTCAGACTGCAGTATAAATGCGAGAAGAGCTGCCCAGAATTTCTTGAACACACTGATGGGCTGACAGAGACAGTCATAAATACTGGAACAGGTTATGCTTTGTCTTACACAGCAGCAGAGGGAAAATTGAAATCCCCACCTCCCTTGTTTCATTGAGAAAGGTTTCCCATGTTTGGTCTGGCATGGCTGTCCCTCTGCCGTTAGGAGAGCAGGGAATATCTCGTCTCTTACTGGTACCCTGCAGTCAGGAGTGCAGGGAGCGCTGGCAGTTGTGGGACCCACCAGCGCACCTCCAAGCATGGTCTCTGCAGCACGCTTTTACGCTACTCCTGCAGCAGGGCTGTGACTGACACCACGCCTAGCGCAGGACGTGCCTAAGGACACAGTCAAGTCCATAATCTGCAATACCACAGTAATTATATATTTTCAAGCTTAGATTATGTATTCGTGGGGTTTGGGGTTGAGGAGTTTTTTTCTTCTGTTGAGCTGTTTTTCTCTGCAAACAAAAGCAGATCTGCCATGCAGAAACAATTACTTGCTTAGAATCCAGTTCTGCCCTTGCCAGAGTCACTGGCGAAGTTCACACTGAGGCCTTTGGGATAAACAAGCAACAGTTCCTATTTCCCCCCTATCCTGAAATATCCCGGATCAGTTTTAATCCTGAAAGACCACGAATGCCACCAGCAAACTGATCTGTGGCAGAAGTAACGCAGGGTTAGGGATCACAGAATCACACTGAATCACAGAATGGCAAGGGTTGGAAGGGACCTCGGGAGATCATCTAGTCCAACCCCCCTGCTAAAGCACGTTCTCCTAGAGCATGTTGCACAGGACTTTGTCCAGGCAGGCTTTGAATATCTCCAGAGAAGGAGACTCCACAACCTCCCTGGGCAGCCTGTTCCAGTGCTCTGTCACCCTCAAAGTAAAGAAGTTTTTCCTCATATTCAACTGAAATGTCTTATCTTCCAGTTTGTGCCCATTGCCCCTTGTCCTGTCACTGGGCACCACTGCAAAGAGTCTGACTCCGTCCTCATGACATCCACCCTTAAGATATTTGTATGTGTTGATGAGATCCCCTCTCAGTCTTCTTCAGGCTGAACAAGCCCAACTCTCTCAGCCTTTCCTCATAGGGGAGATGCTCCAGTCCCTTTATCATCCTAGTTGCTCTCCTCTGAACTCTTTCTAGGAGTTCCTCATCACCATCACAAGTGTGAGACAGCTGCCCTCACAGTCCAACTTAAGAGAGATGCTAAGGTTGGACACATCGCTTTAACTGTATTCTCTCTGGAGATGGGTTTTCTCTGCTACTGCACAGGAAATCAGCATTTCAGCTGAGGAAGCTTCTGTTGCTGCTTTCTGTGTTGCTTTGTTTGGTAGATAAAAACAGGCTTCAACATTTAAGATGGACACTGTGCTGCAGAAACCTGATCAAGCAGAGGGGATGTTTCTGTATGTGAAGACTCAGCGTTTCCATGAACTTGATGGTGTGAAAATAAAAGAGCTAAAACCTACATAGCTAAGTATTATTTAGGTGACACACAGGAATTTTCAGCCTGACGTCTGCAGAAGGAGCTTATCTGTTCCAGGTGACCTGTTAATAAGGCAGTATCTCAGACAAGCGTCAAGACTGAATCCAGACAAAACTATAAGAAACACACTGATTTCACAGATATGAATCTGTTTCTTAATCTACATGATTGTTTTCACCTAAAGTTGTTCTGATTCAAAATCAATGTTGAAAACAGTAATTTTTATTCTTCACAATTGTTATTTGCAGGCACAAGTGATAAGACGGCCACCAACAGTGATTTGTTACATATGTGGCCATGAGTACGGAACAAAATCTATTAGTATCCATGAGCCACAATGCCTAAAAAAATGGCACCAGGAGAATGACATGCTACCCAAGTTCTCGAGAAGGCCAGAGCCCAAAAAGCCTGAAGTCAGTCCCATACAAGGTAAGCTACAGACCAAGTGAGGAAATGGGAGGCAGACAGTGGAAGAAAGAAAAGAATTTTAAGCAATAGCTTAATGGCTTGCAAGTACTTCTTTCTCCATTTTATTCTGAAGACAAGGTAGACATCATAGCTTGTTTTAAGCTTTCTGTTAAGTATCCTGTTCTCCTTTTGTGCTGTATCTGTGAGGAGTAAAAGTGGTTGTTGCCTTGTGGGATATGCCTCCTGGGAGAGTTCTCTTTATGTGTCAGTATGTTCTGCATCAAACCACAAAAAGATTAGCAACCTGCTTCACAGCTACACCTTTTTACTACTTTCAATGCTGTAGGAAGGCATATTTTAAAATGGGCAAAAGCATCCAGGAATAATGTGCAGACTTGACGTGTACAGTCATTAAAATAAAATACCCTTCAGGCAACTTAAGGACAGGTACTTCAGCCAGGTTTTACACCTATAGCATTGCTTGTGAAAAAAGCCTGACACTAACACTTAGCAGTGGCAAACACTGAGTGGCCTCGAAAATAGGAGTTCTGTGGTAAAACAAGAAACACAATACTAGATGCATGATGACTAGCAGAAAACAGAGTATTTTAAAAACCTACCTATAATATATACTGAAGTTTCAGGGTTTTATTGAAATATAGATAAAATTGCAGTATCTTCTACAATGAGCATCCACTGAATGTTATTGGTCCCTTTTTATTTACAAGCCTTAGAAGCTTTCTTCGTGAGACATTATGATATAAACACAGTGGGGAAAAAATATACATAGTATAAAAGAAACATTCAATTTCTGCCAATTATTTGTGTTTGTGCTGTGCTTCCTCTTTTGTAAGATGCCTAGATCCCACTTCTTTAAATCAATGAAAACTGATGATCTCCAGCACCCGACAGAGCTGGGTTCCTATATGTAGACCAGGGATGCATGCTCACTGTAGGACCAAAAGGAAATCTTATCCAGCTTTGCCTGGAAGCTGCTCCCAGGACTTCCCCATTCCCACATGAAGTTATTTCACCCTTTCAGCTGGACGCTTGCCCTGGTCCTGCCAGCTCGTCTGAGCTACTTTGGGCCAAGTTTGGACCACTTGCACACAAGCAGTTATTTCGCCCACTTTTTTTTTTTTTTTATATTCCCCATAAATTTCCTGCACCTTCCCCTAATGTCTGGAAAAGCAGACAAATTCTCCTACGACTCACTGTGAAAGAGTGATACACTAGACTAGTTTACAGCAGTACAAAGAGATATGTCCCCAGAAGACACAGAAGCAGGATCACTTAAGAACACTAACCAGCTGTTCAAAATAATAATAATTGCAGCTCAAACAATATCAAATCAGGACTTGGTTAACAGATGCCAAGCAGCAGAGTTAAATCTGCAGTAAAAGATAGGTTCAGAAGACATTTTTATTGTATTTTCTCTTTTTGTTGTTAAGCTCTTTTTAATTATCACATGTTGTGTGTGGTAAAAAAAGATGGAGAAAATGAGAATTCCATCTGAAAGAGGAGGATGCAAAAGGACAAATCAGGTTATTTTGAAATACACTATTCTTATTTTGAAGGAGTGGAAGCAGAAAGACAACCACTCTTTGAGAGAACAATCCAGCAGAAGGCTCCCAGATATGAATCAGAAAATTGTCTCATTTACGCAATGAGTCATATCAGGCGCCGCACATCTCCTGTGAAGTGTTGTGTACCCACAGTTCCCCAGGGGACACTGACCTGCTTCCAGCATCTGTCCCGAAATGCCTGCTGATGCAAGTCTGATCAGTTCTGTAGCTTGAGCTAAAATTGTTGTTCCCCCTGCAGTTGCCTCATGCTCCTGGCCTCACAAAAATAATCTTAGTGTTGTTCTTTTTCCGTAAGACTTACTCTCGATCATCTGGTAAATGCTATAACTGACCTTGAGACCACATACACGTACTGCATGTCTCACAGTTTCTCAAGTTAGGGAGGAGGGATTACCCCTGTTGTTGAATGGAACAGGCAATGTTCAAAAAAAGCTCAGAAATATTAACTGCTTACATAAAACTTTTTATAACTTACATAAATCTTTTTCTGAAAACTGAGGTGTCACGGGAAGACAACCGCTGCCCTGATTACACAGTGTTTTGTTTGTGGAATGCCTAACACATGCCTGCAAGGAGAAAGTAATCTCTCTTTCTCTTTTTTTTTTTTTTTTTTATATTCAATAAACTTTCCAAAGTACAAAAAATACACATTCATTTCCTGCAAGCAAAGGGGATATTTGTCTCAGCCAAGAAAAGAAACACTACTTGGTTGCTCTTCTAACAAAAAGAACATTAGGAACAGGCATATTAAGAGATCTAAGGCTTATTGTGGTTATGTGAACCATTGGATATGAATCATATTAAAACTGTATGGGCCTTTAATGAAGAGCTCTATCATGTGCCAATGACAGAAACCATGGAATATTTTTAAATGCACAAACCCTTTTCTTTTAAAAATTGTCTGCTGCTAACACTTCAAAGACAAAAACAGGTTTTTAGTATTTTCGAGTATTGTCATACTTTTTCAGAAGGGTGAAGCAAATACACCTTCAAATTGAGCCAGGTAGATTTTTTTTCTACATGCACTTCAAATGAAAACTTTTAAGATCTAAATCCAGGTATTAAGCAACCTACCTGGCTTTTTTGGAGATCAGTTTGAAACAACAATATGTGAAAGTCCATTTCAAGGCAAAATCCATTTCAACGTGAAAGTAAACAATATTTTTTTTTATACTCAAATAAAATCTTGAAAATACATGTGATGTGAGTGTTTGAAGAATGCTCCTGAGCTTTCAGAGCAGTCTGTCTTCCCGCAGTGGAAAATAACTGAAGGTAAGACTGGATTAGTGTTTAGATGACAATAGATGCATCAGTGCAATGACCTCACTGGAAGTTGTGGCTTAACAGAACTGTAGGTTTTGTCTGCAAGGTTTTAGGCTTACCTAAGCTTTACTCCACATATTGGCAAAACTTGCATAGAGTTCAACAGGAAAAAAATTGAGGCCCTTGTCCAGGACAGTACAAAGAGCATATTCTCAAGTATGATACGCTCCCGCCCATTGCCATGGTCAGATAACACATGCTCATTAAACAGAACTTGAAGTAAAGCCAAAAAGTGAAATTTGCTGATAATAGTATGTATGCAAAGATGTTAATAATTAGCTGAGAATGCATATCATAACACACAGCATGATGTTTTCTCTGTGCTCTCATACAATACAAAATGATTCAGTTTGAAGTTAATTTAATTCCACCCCTGGGACAAAAAGCAGAGTCTTTTTTATATATTTTTTACTCTTTTGCTTCTTTCTTTTCTTGCTTTTTCATTTGCAAAAGCAATATGGTTTGGTTAAACTGAAAGGCTCAGTCAACAGGTATTTCCTGAAAATATTTTCCATAAAGAGTTGAATGTGGGTCTCCAGAATGAAAGCTGATACTTTCTTTTTTTAATTTTCCAGCCAAAGGTTTCTATGATCTTGGTTCTTTAAATGAGGCTGCCTGGATCAGCGCCCAGAACCAGCTAGTTGCATGTGATATTTGTGGGCGTACTTTTCATCCAGACAGACTGATCGTCCACCAGCAGTCCTGTAAACCCTGCAATGTGAAGTGGATGTAACACTCACGCATACGTATGCATGCATGCTCACACGCACGCACATATGCACCCATACTTTCAGTGAAACCATGAGAGAAATAAAATCCAGTAGGAGAGCCATGGGCATCAAAACTGTAGTGTGTTGTCAGAACTTGTGATCCAAAAGCAAGTAAAATCAGCAGTTGCTACTGTAGTGTAAGGTCAAATACAGCGATTTTTTTAGCCCAGCAGTAGCAAAAATACCTCCTCATTTCTGTCAGTCAGGCAGCATCACCTTGAAACCACAGTTTGAGAGGGGTGGCGTAGGCATACTTGAAAGTAATGTTAACTATCCTCTTCCTTCTCTTGATCCTGTGCTTTGTTGGGTGCAAGAGGTCCCAAGTGAAGAATCCTCCTGGGTTGCTTTCTGAATCGTTGCACTGTCTTCAACTCTGTTGGTCAAATGTGGATGTTCTTCAGCCCCTCTCCTTTCACAGCCTTTCAGATTTAGCTATCTGGACTTTCAAAAGAAGTTGGGCCTTCTGCATGCATTTCCCATTTTACATGACATGTTTGTTTTTCTGTGTTTAGCAAAGGACAGAAAGAAATGAGCCGTAGCTGTTAGGGGTCTTTCACTGCAGAGGTCCCCAAGAGAGTAACCGACAGAGATCCATCTTGTGGTCTTGCTTTTCAACAGATCTGTGAGACTGGGAGAGATGGTATGTCAAGAGCTCCTTTGTCTGCAGGGACAGTTGGCTACATGTCCCTTGCTCAGTGAATAAATTCACCTACTGTTTCAGAAACTGAAGCTTCAGACAACTTTCAGGAAATGCGTTTCAATGAGGAGTCACTTATTGAATCTCAGTGGAAGCAAAGCCAGAGTGATGCTGATCAGGAAAATTAGTTCTTTGAAAAGTTTCTTTCCCCTCTATTGAAGACTTGTCTAGTTAGTGTAAGGACCTCCAGCTGAACTTGACTAGTCAGAGAAACCAAGTAGCTCCTCTGGGTTTGTTGATTTGTGGGGGTTTTTTGTGTCCTTGTCCATCTTTGGCACAAGAATATTCACTGACTCGGAGCTGAAATCCAGGGAGCACTCCAGTGTTCACATCCTTGTGGGACAATGCAGCTCATGAAGCCCTTGACTGCCTGTGATGGGTTGACCCTGGCTGGATGCCGAGGGCCTACCAAAGCTACTCTATCACTCCCCTATTTAACCGAACAGGGGAGAGAAAATAGATGAGAAGGCTCGTGGGTCGACATAAGGACTTGATAAAATTAGTTTAATTTATTGCCAATCAAAATCAGAGTAGGGGAGGATAAAAAGTGCTGAATCTTGAAACACCTTCCCCCCACCCCTCCATTCTTCCCAGGCTCAACTTCACTCCCAGTTTTCTCTACCTACTGCCCCCAAGCAGCGCAGGGGGATGGGAATGGGGGTTGGGGTCAGTTCATCACACGTTGTCTCTGCCGTTTCTTCCTCCTCAGGGAAGGACTCTCCCCCCTGCTCCAGCCTGGGGTCCCTCACATGGCAGACAGTCCTCCATGAACTTCTCCAATGTGAGTCCTTCCCACAGGCTACAGTTCTTCATGAACTGCTCCAGCTTGGGTCCATAATTTCCACTGGGTGCAGTTCCTCAGGAGCAGACTGCTCCAGCATGGGTCCCCTGCAGGGTCACAAGTTCTACCAGCAAACCTGCTTCAGCCTGGGCTCCTCCCCCCATGGGTCCACAAAGTCTTGCCAGGAACCTGATCCAGCACAGACTTCCCACGGGGTCACAGCCTCCTCCCTTCGGGCATCCACCCGCTCCAGCGTGGGGTCTTCCACAGGCTACAGGTGGAGATCTGCTCCACCGTGCACCTCTCACATCCTCTCACTTGTCTTCTCTCTCCAGCTACTGTTCCACAGCAGGTTTTTTTCCTTCTTAAATATGTTATCCCAGAGGTGCTTCCGCCGTTGCTGATTGGCTTGGCCTTGGCCAGCGGCAGACATAGGGAAAACTTCTGGCAGCTTCTCACAGAAGCCACCCCTGTAGCCCCCCCACTACCAAGACCTTGCCACACAAACCCAATACACCACCACAAGTGAAATGTTCACATATAAAGCGATCCATCAGTGGGGTGGAAGCAGAGACTTATTGTTTTTAGAAAACACTCAAAAGGTGCCCTCTTCTTGGAGCATTTCTTGCTTAAGAAAGATACTGACCATGTGATTTATCCTCAGCTCAAAAATTTTGTAAGTCAGAGGAGCACATCTTTGTCATGAAGTTGGTAAAAGAAAACACATTTTTATGTCAAGCCAAAACAAGCATGGTGTGTTATCTTGCCCTCTGTGCCGAAAGTGACCATAATGGAGTGCCAATATGGTCAAGAAGGGTAGGTATTATTCAAGAAAGCAGCGGGGAAGGTGTTTAACGTTCTATTTTGAAAAATGCTATTATGTAATGTAGCAAACTCAGTGCCAAAACACATCAGTGAGTAGGTTAAACACATGAAGGAAGTAATACTCACTTTTACAAGGTACAGCAGAGAGCACCTTTTATTATTATTTTACTCACTCTGAAATATTTTATTAAGTAGTCAGTAAGATTATTCAGAAGTTATGACAAAATCCAGTACAAGTTGTTAACCATCAATATAGGCTTCCTGATATCACAAAAGAAACTGTACTTCATGTACATTTTCACCTTCAGGCTTAAGGCCTAGAGCTAGCTGTTATACATTGTGTGACCGATGTGACTTTTCTCAGAGCATTCACACTTACTATTGTACTTACAATTCAGATGAAGTGGATGTCTTCTTACATACTAAAATGAAATATGGGTGCCAGCAACTTTTCTTTTCCAAGCTATCAAGCTGTGTGATTTGTGGCGTAAGTGAAATAAGAAGTAATATCATTGTTCTGTTATTAGAGGAACGCTCCTGGCTCCAGTCCTGGTGGGCTGTTAATTCAGATTGGGAGACGTACCAGCATTCTTTGGTGAAAATAATTTCCAAAACAATCAAAGGCACCTCAGCAGCCCTTTCATCTTCAGAATAAGAATTGTATTGTCTGAAGATAGATATCTTCAGGAGTCAAACGTTCGGTTTCTGTTCTACAGTGAAAGCTGTGTAAACCCCACAGATCTGTCCTTGTTAGTGTCTCCAATGTAAGAAGAGTCACTGGTGGAGGTGGACCAGTGCCATCTCTCCTCCTTTTGGCTGGGAGAAGGCACATGGCCTGAAGAAGGAAGAACAGGGGCACTGGTTTGTGATTTCTAGACTGGCTCCTAGGAGTTGCTGGCAGGCAACATACACTGCAAGACCCTGAAGGCTGCTGTAATTCACATCAAGTGCTGGCCCACTGATGAGCAGCTTGGTAATTGGAGGATTATGGATGTCATGCAGTCTCACCTTTGTGCCCCCTCTTCCTCTTCTTGGACCCCTCTTCCTTATGTCAGAGACCATAAGAATTTTTTGGCTACATCTGCCTCACTGAGTCAACAATATTCATTACAGAATCGCTTCAAGAGCAGAAACGTGTTTTAAAGAAACTAAACAGCATTTGCAGAGTCACTGCAGACTTTGGCATTAAAACTTTAGCCCTGTCTTTTGGTCAGAGTCCCTGTGTCATTCTGAAGGTTGGACTCAGGGTCCTGATGATTTTAGATCTGTCAGAAATTTCACCCAGAACAGGTTTTCTGTGTTTCATTGTCAGCTCTACTTTTGTCTATTTTTTATTTTCTGGATTATTATCCCCTAAAACAATAAAATCTGCCTGATAGATGAGCAGAGTGTTTATAAACAATCACAAAACTACTGATACTAACAGCACTTTTAGTGTGCTGTTGAGTCTTGCCCAGAAATACCACAGTATGGGAACTCCTGAAGTCATAAGCCTGAAGTATGGTTTCCACATCAGCCTTTGAGGGAGTCAAATGAGGATTTGGCAAATTAAGAGCTGCCTCTGCTTACAGGCGATTGCTGCTGAGCTCTGAACTTAACATAGTGAGCTTTACCACTCACAGAGGCAAGTCAACATTGGGCTGTGAAGTCTGATGGTGAGACCAGAGCGTGCAGGAACTCAGCAGGAGGCAACAGCTCTCAAAAAGATCTAAGGTTGTAACATCCCCTTCCCTCCATAACATTGTGGGTACAATGGTTTTCAAAATACATAGAAATATAAAAAGCACTGACATGGGAGTACATACTGTCCCATTTCAAACACTGAAAAGATATCACTGTCACTCAATTTTCGGGTTACTCTACCACAAGCTTTTCAGCTCACCAAGCCTGGTGTTAGTTTGTACAAGTGATGATGGTGGGTTCTGTGGCAAGATTTATGCAGTGGGAGAAACACTGACAGTGCCTTCACAGTCTGCTCTCAAAAAAATGAGATCTTATGAGCATTTTGCATGATTGCTTGGTATTTATCTTTCTGACTTTTTTGCAGAAGAGGAAAAGGCAATGAGAAACTGAGCTACCTTGCTGCCTTTGTGTGCTGGTTTTGGCTGGGATTGAGTTAATTTTCTTCACAGTAGCTAGCATGGGGCTATGTTTTGGTTTTGTCCTGAAAACAGTGTTGATAGCAGAGATGTTTTTGTTACTGCTGAGCAGTGCTCACACAGAGCTAAGGCCTTTTCTGTTTCTCACAAGAAGCTGCGGGGGGACACAGCGGGGACAGCTGGCCCCAACTGACCACAGGGATATCCCACACCATATGACGTCATGCTCAGCATAGACAGCTGGGGGAAGAAGAAGGAAGGGGGCGACATTTGATGGCGTTTGTCTTCCCAAGTCACCATTACGCATGATGGAGCCCTGCTGTCCAGGAGATGGCTGAGCACCTGCCTGCCGGTGGGAAGCAGGGAATGAATTCCTTGCTTTGCTTTGCTTGCATGCATGGCTTTTGCTTTACCTATTAAACTGTCTTTATCTCAACCCATGAGTTTTCTCACTTTTACCCTTCTGATTCTCTCCCCCATCCCATTGTGGGGGGAGTGAGCAAGTGGCTGGGTGGGGCTGAGCTGCCAGGTGGTGTTAAACCGCGACATTTTGTTTCCATA